TAATCATGTCGAAACATATTTTTATTTGTGTGAATATTGAGGCCACCACCGGCAAGAGTGAGGAGGATAAGCAGCAAGACAAATGTGATGCCTCGCCAAAATAATGGACGTGGACCTATTGTGGTCTTGAGTGATGGTTATTGAATTAAGAGTGTGTGTTATTTTCTTCCGTTGTAACGCACGGGCTCATTCAATGATTCAACCATCGAACGATTCAAACCCATCAAGCTTATGAACATGTGTCTTTTTATAATTTTTCAGACATTCAGTAAAACATTTTTACATGTTCATATATAATTTTAAAAAGTGTGTATTTCCATGTAAAAATGTATACCTATATCTAATCTTCTAATAAAGGGTTATTGTTTCTGGTGGTATGTCATGAAAATTGCCCTCAAAATTACAAGATATTACCCACCAGTGTCACCTATAAGTGATAGAAAAACGTTTCACAAAAGGGGAATCCCCTGCCTGCGCCGGCCCATGCAGTAGGGACCTCCTATACTGTGGTCTGCGCGCTGGGAGAAGACGCAGCGCCTCTATTTGGGCCGGCCCTTGTCCGGGCGGCCTGTTTTTTTTATTTTTTTTAAAAAAAATTTCCACTTTAAATAATTTGGAATTCAAAAGGTTCAGAAAATTAAAAAAATGAGAATTTTGAAATAAAATGTTTGTGGATTCAAAAAACATTCACAATTTTGTAAAAACATGTTTGCTTATACAACAAATGTTTGCAATTTGGAAACAAATGTTCGGGAAATAAAAAAAATTCATGATTTTTTTAAAAAATTGTGTATTAAAAGATGTTAATGAAATTGATCAGAAAATTTTGCCAATTCAAAAGAAGTTCATGGATGGAAAAATATCCTAAAATTCAAAAACTGTTCGGGACTTACAAAATAGTTTATTCATTCATAAAATGTCCGCTGGTTCAAAAAATGATCATGCATTTCAAAAATGTTCCTTAAAAAAATTTCGTTCAGTCCAAAAAATGTTCATGAATTTAACAGATGGTACCACCAATTTCCGAAAAATGTTTACCGATTCAAGAAAATTGATTTCCAAAAATGTTTCAGATAGTATAAAATGTTCATGTATTTAAAAAAATGTTCTTTATTTTAGAAAATGCTCAACAATTTATAAATGTGTTCATGAATTTGAAAAATATTCACAATTTCAAATATGTGCACGAGTATAAAAAATGTTTATGATTTGAAAATGTGTTCATGATTTCAGGAAATTGAGAGCACTAGTGTATCTTGGTGATGCAGCAAAATATGGTCATTGCCATTAAAAATTATGAAACAAAAATCTTGCAACAAGCCCTTTTGCTAGTATATATCAAATAACATGTTTTGTATAGGCTAAAAGAAGCCCATTTTGTTCTTTGTATTTGCTCTACACCACATATTAAAATATGTATACATTTCTCGGATTCTTTCGAGGTACAAAAATACTACTCCCTCCATTCCGAATTACTTGTTGCAGGTATGAATGTATCTAGATGTATTTTAGTTCTAGATACATCCATTTCTGCGACGAGTAATTTGGATCGGAGGGGGTATTTTTGAATCATTATTTTGTCAAAAGAATGGCTACATGTACGATATAGCCCAGACCCTAGAACTGTGGAGGTCGAGGGGTGGCATCAATATCATCTATCTTTGCCGGAGCGCTAGTGCTGGTTGTGAAAATACATATCATCATCTTGACAGCTGTTTACTTTGGTTATACAGGGACAATGTTGATACATGAATCTACAGGCGCTGTCTTTCTATCCATAGCTTATGGGGCATTGCAGAACAAGTTTAGTACTTGCCACAACAAGACTTTTACACACAATACAAGAAAAACGAATTGCACCATTCAAGAAAATAAATTGAACAATGATGTTCCTCTGCGCTCTCACCATGCCACGGCTCGCTTGAGTCTGACCTGCAAATTATGCACATTCAAAACATAAGAGCTTTTCAGGTAGAAGCGTATATGTATTTTCTGTTATCTTGAGCTCTCACTTTGGTTATATAAGATGCGTCGAACCAATTATTTCGTTTCATAAAAACATGCAAATGCACATGTAGATCTGTATGTTAGTTCCTGTTGTACCTCACTTTGTCATCTCTGATCAAGGCCTCCAAAGAACTGTTCCAAGCTTGCAGAGCTGAAAACATTGGGTGACACCCTTTCTGTTTGCTGTGGCGAAATGTGCAGCTGATACTTGATAAACCTCTGCAATGGAGATAGCAAATCAAACCTCTGCAATGGAGATAGCAAATCAAACCTCTGCATTGGTGCATTTGTGACTTACAGATAACTGGTGAACGATTTCAGGACTCGAGTCAATGTGCCAGTCAGGTTCCAGTTGCCGGACAAAAGAGGTGCGGCCAATTTCCGTACTGCAGAAGAGAACCTACAGATTTCAGCAAAGAGTTATATTTCAAACACCTATTCCATATATCCAAAACTAAAGCAGTGATAAATGTCTGTCTCCAAGGTCTTATTATGAAGTTTACCTTCTCTCTCACCAAACCGCCACTGGTAAAAAGCCCAGCTTCACTTAGGGCAGACAGTACCTTTTCCTGCATCAATTCAAATGTGTGGGGGTCAAGTTAAAATGGTCTGCTCCAAACACTAAACTATGTAATGAAGCACATACTTGTAATAATGCAAACTCTAAATTCCAAAACAACGAGCTGCAGTGAAATGAAAACTTTATTTGGTATGCATATGATGATGGAAGTATACTGGTGCACAACATAATAAAGTAACAAGAGAACACGGGGGCTCTTTCAAGACCTACCTCACTTTCATCATCAAGAACGTGCTCCATCAGATAGACGTCACAAATTTTTGCAATTTCTAGAAGAACCTCCAAAACAGAAGGTTTCACTGTAACGTGATTCTGAAGAAAGACAGTACATCCATGAATTCGTCAGTTAGTCAATAAAAAATAGCAAAATTTGCTGAAGCATTTCTGCCCACCTGGAGCTCCTCTGGAGTTGTTTCCTCCAAAATCACACCAAGTAACCGGCAGGTAACCTGAAACAGTTCTTCCCACATTAGTGAAACACATGCATTGGTCCAACAGGACGCTTAAAATTTTGTAACAACACTAAAAGCAGTTGTTTGTGCAGTACCCTTCGCCCTTCGCTCAGTTTATGCCTGACAAGCTGCTCAAGAGTCAGCTGAAGAAGAAACAGGCAACTATCAACCTAAGGGTTATTTGAACATTAACATTATTGAGAAATAAACAAAGGAAGCACTACATTTACTGGTTGGAAAAGCTGATTGATCGCTTCATGTGCTCTTGAATCTACCGATGAGCAGGCATCCGTTCCGACCAAAGCACCTGGCTGTGATCTACTGCTTGTGTTGCTAGATGATGGAGCATCCCGTCTCCGTTGCCTCCGAGGTTGCTCTGGAGGAGCTCTCAACAGTTTCCAGGCAAATACAATTGTGATGGCAATTGCAGCAAGTGTGGTAAGCGAGCGAAGCTTCTAAACAAGGAAACAAAAGAAGTACTTCAATAATTCTGGCAACAAGGACTCAAAATAACATATCATAGAAATGGCAAGTCATGGGACTTGCACTTGAGAACCTACAAAACTTGTGATGGCAATTGCAGCAAGTGTGGTAAGCAAGCGAAGTTTCTAAACGAGGAAATGAAAGAAGTACTTCAGTCTTCAATAATTCTGGCAACCAGGACTCAAAACTTGTGATGGCAATTGCAGCAAGTGTGGTAAGCAAGCGAAGTTTCTAAACGAGGAAATGAAAGAAGTACTTCAATAATTCTGGCAACCAGGACTCAAAATAACATATCTGGCAACCAGGAGTCAGGGACTTAGCACTATAGAACCCACAAAACTTGATGTATCCTTTTGTTCTAGCCAAGTAACACACAATGCACTGATCAGTCCACTGTTTGCATCAAGCACTTATACTTTGTGGAATCATATCGTTGTTCAAACAGTGTAAATTTGCAATTATAGACGTCACAGGTCTTGATGTCTTGCGTGAAGTGCTTACTTATGTTGCTTTGGTGTTTGAAACAGAATGTCTCATTACCAGAGCATTCCATTTCGATACGGACATATTAATTAATGTGCATTCAATTTATAGACACAAGTCATATAATTAGAAGAAAGATAAAACATGAAAAAAAATGATGAAAGGGTTAATGGTAGCTTGGCCTAGCATGTTTACAACAAGGGAACAGCGAAGCCTACAAAGCAACAGGTCGAATGTTCCATGTATACTGGCTCTCGGTAAAAGTAGAACCTCAGGACAATAGTACCACCTCGCTCTGTGGCACCGATTTGTCCGGCAACCAGCGTGTCCGTATCAAATACTGTATCTGATAAGGATACATTCCTGATATGTATCAGTGGAGTATCGGTGAGTATGGTAATAATAAAGTGTCTTAATTCAGATACATTTCAGAAGCTTCCCTGATCCTTTCTTGTATGGCCCGGCCCGGCCCAGCAAATGCTGAGTAAGGGGCATATCCTAACCCTAGCCTGTACCCATCCCTTGTGTCCAGCCTCCACTCCCGATCCTCTTCCTCCCTGCTGTACCCACTCTTGGCGGCACCACCAGATCTAGCAGGCAACCCTAGCCTGTCCCCATCCCTTGTGTCCAGCCTCTACTCCCGATCCTCTTCCTCCCTGCTGTACCCACTATTGGCGGCGCCACCAGATCTAGCAGGCAAACCGGCGACAAGCCGGCGGTGGGCTACTCACCTCCTCCCCCTCTCAGGCTCTAGCAGCAGTGCTCTGGCCGCAAGATGGCGGTGCGCTTCCCGCACCCTCCCCTTCTCAGGCTCCAACAGCAGGCCAATAGCTCGCCCGTGGCAAGCCGGTGGTGGGCTCCTCGTCTCTTCCCCCCTCTCAGGCTACAGAAGCAGTTCACTGCCATGCTCCCTGATTCAGTAGCTCACCGGTGGTGGGCTCCTTGACTCCTTCGCCTCTCAGACTCAGCATCAAGGTATGATCCAGTGCACCCGCTCCTCTCCTACAGATTTCTATCTAATGGCAGCTCCCCTCCTGTAGGCTAAAAACTTCTCCAATTTTGTGTTCTTTTGCGCGCTGTTTCTACTTAATCTCCACCTTCACTATGAATGGGAAAAGAGAAAAACATCAAGCTAATCTGCTGTTCCTAGAAGATAACTGTTTGTTGTTAATTTTTCGCCGCTGCGCTATTGCAGTGTCCTGGCTGGAATTGCCAGAATTATGGCCAGTACGGAATGCAAGCTGCTGCGTGCTGTTTTTGTTCTAAAGAAGAATGATCAGGTATTCTGTCCGGAATGGAAGGGGTTAAATAGGTATGCTCTATTGATCTAGGACATCATATTCTATCAACTAAAGAATATTTGCCATTTGGCAGTGTGACTTAAATATATATTAAATTCAGGAATAGCAAAAAACACCCCATCACTATCTGCCCACAGCGGTACACATAGTGGCCATCCGAAAGTTTGCATCTGTCTGACTAACCGGCAATCCCATATAGCAGTAGTGACTGATTCTTTCAGCCAAGGAGACATCAAAATCACAAGGACCACAGCAATCCCCTGACCTTTTGCCGAAACCGATCACGCATTACCCTGAACAATAGGAGCCATGCTTTACAGTGAACACCTGCGAACCCCCACCATGAACATGCCTGAAGCTTGCGCAGCAGCTAACAAGACATTACTGAATCGATGCTTCGCAACCTAGGCAGTGATAGCTTGCGCAGCAGAACACCCGGTGGCCTATACACATCTAAGAAGCACAGCCTTTCCCCAAATATGGAGCCAGCAGCTTTGGAGGTCAGGCCACCAACAAAAGGGAATTCCTCAGCTACGAGGTACTACAGTAGTGCTACCGACAGATCATTCACGCATCAGTTGACGGGACGGGACCGAGGCCACAGATCCGAGCGGAAACCTGGCGGTCGAGGTCGAAGGGGAGGCGATCGGAGTAGCGGGAGAGGACGTCGACGATGCGCCGCACCAGATCGGCCAGCTCGTCGTCCTTCCCGCCCCCGGCCCGCGCCGCCGCCGGGGACGAAGCCGACGCCGCCGCCGCGGCGGACTCCGAAGCCATCGCCGCCGACGAGACGGGGTGGGGACGGGCGGCTCGGTAAGACAAACCCTAGGAGCTAGTCCGAGGCGCTCGTCGGTCGCGGCGAGGCGGGGGGCGGAAGTGTAATTTGGGGTGGGGTTGGAGGGGGCGGGTGGGCTGTGTGACCTGTGAGATGTCGGGACGGAAGGAAGAGGAAAGCGGCTGCTTCGTGCTGTTGTTTTTGTCACGACCTGGCGTGGTAAACCTCGTTCTCGCAGGTAAGCATGTACAATGATGCTATTTTAACAGCCCCATGTGGTTTAATGATAAGATGAAGAAGAGATAATTCATAAGAATTTTTTTTGTCTTCTTTTATTATTGTCTTTTTTTATTTAAAAGAAGATAAAAGATGATCTCTTAGCATAATATGTCTCACTATATTTTTAGAAATAGCTAGTTATTGAAGATAAGGCTAAGAGATGACTTATTGTAGACATGTTTTCTTGTCATCTCTGAATTACATGCAAGACTTAAGATAATACTATCTTATCAATCATTGTATGCAAGACTAAAGATAATACTATCTTATCAACTATTGTACATGTCCTAAAATGCGTTTTTCTTCCCTCGGTTTATCAAGAAGTGAGGCTTTCTGAACTTGTTTTTAATCTTTGTCTCTCAACTCTTCATACCAATCATGGTTAGTCCCTGACAGCGATATTTCTTGGTCAAACTCAGTTTTGACCGCTTCTTGATGCAAGCTTTGTCCCTTAACTCTTAACATCGGGTAGGATAGTCCCTAGAAAGAGTGTTCCTCGGTCAAATCCGATTTTGACTTTTTTGGCACGGTTTTGATCAGGTCAACACTGTAAGGTGGAATAGGACCACATGACATCTCTCTTTCTTTGTGTGTGTGTGTTTGTCTCGTTCTGTAACGCCCCGAGACCGATGTGCCAGGTGTCTTCCAGTTATTCGATGTTGTTACCTTGTCAGGTGCTTGCGTATCATGCATTGCATATCATGTCATCATGTGCATTTCATTTGCGTACATATTCATCTTATGCATTCAAACATTTTCTCCGTTGTCCGTTTTGCAATCCGGCGCTCCTATGTCCTCCGGTGTCCCCTTTTGCCTCTTTTCGTGTGCGGGTATTAAATGTTTTCTGATTGGACCGAGACTTGCCAAGCGGCCTTGGTTTACTACCGGTAGACCGCCTGTCAAGTTTCGTGCCATTTGGGCTTCGTTTGATACTCCAACGGTTAACCAAGGACCCGTAAAGGCCTCGTGTGTGTTGCAGCCCAACACCCCTCCAAAATGGTCCAAAACCCACCTAAACCCCCTCCATCATCTAGATCATTCGATCACGATCGCGTGGCCGAAAACCGTGCTCAATTTGGAGCCTCCTAGCTCCTCCTACCTATAAAAAGGCCACTCCCCTGAAATTTTCGGATCAATACACCCCTAACCCTAGCTCCCCGCACCTCCACCGCGCCGGACAGGTCCGGTCCGACCGGACAAAGACGCCGCCGCCACGTGGCGC